GGAGGGGATTATAATCATTGTAATAAAACAAAGTATATGATTTGTTGAATGTAACACTGATGATCTGCCCAATTCACAATAAAAGCTTTAAAAAAAAAAAATCAAGGTAAACCAAGTGTTTGTTGATTTTATAAAAACACTTCCATGGGCATTCAGATTATGATAGTCAAGTTGATTTTTTTCCAAGACTAGAAGCAAAATGTCACTGTATCTCAATCCTCTATAATCATAAACTGTGGACGTTAATTCTTCACAGTCAAATGACCATCCTTCTCTTGTTCTAGCACTACGTTCGAGAACAAGTGTGCTGGCACATATCTGGAATACGAAAGACATTTAGGTGTGTTTACAGTTGGTCTATCCTAGTGAGTTAGTGGTCTTCATAGTAAGTAATTATTTTTTCCTCCTTAGATTTTTGGCCTGTTGAGTTATTTTACTTTATATTTTTAAGTCACATGTAAAACTGTTCTGATATCCAGCCGCCCATAAACTTAAGTCTCTATGAAGATAAAAGTGGAGTATATACTCATTAAGTACTTATCAGAGTGTGAGGAACAGGTTACCATTTTGCATCTGCCACCGTGTTTCATGCTGGCCACAAATTTAGGAGGCAGATGTAATTAAACTTTGTAGATGAGGAAATGGAGACCAATTGAGATCAAATTCCAAATCCAAAACAATGCCACTAGTAACTAGTAACACCACTACCTCAGGGCTGTCAGTATGTTGTTTATCTGTTGCAGAAATATTTTCCAAAACTGGAAAATCTATTTTCCTTTAACAACAATATCAATTTTTATGTGTCTCTTTGCCAACTGAGTGTTTTCAAACAAAAGGTAAGAAAACTTACCACTACATGTTTTTCCATCTACCTTAAGCACCGAGTCGTCAGGACAAAAACATAAAGGGCCATCTGATGTCAGAACACAACCATGGCTGCATTCAGCTCCATTGTTTGGACAGGAAACTAATTCTAATTAATGAAGAATAATGTCAAGATTAGTATTAAAGCAGACTTATGGAGATGCATTAAAATAAGGTGCTAATAAAAAATGGTCAGGTGTGGTGCTATAGGATAAGCACTGGATCAGAAGATCGGTTCAAACTCACCAGCTGCTCCTCAGAAACCCTCTGTGAGTCAGAACCGACTCGACGGCACTTACCAACAACAACATTCTGCAAAGAGTAAAGAATACAATAGTAATGGAGATATAAAATTTAAAGAAATTTTTAACTTAAAATTGAAAAAAAAAAAGTCTTGTGAGTTTGGAAAATGATCCTGGTTTTCTCTTTCTTTTGTGTTAAATAGTATATCAAAAGTTATCAGCTATCAAAATTCCAAAGGATTTTATAAGGAACTTGGACAAACAAATCTCAAATTCATCTGGAAAACAAATTATATGTGTAAGAAAAACTAAGCACATTATGTGAGTGTGGAGGGAGTCTGACCAAATATCAAAATATATCAGAAAGGCAAGAGTCCTGCTGTGGCACTGTAGGATAAGCACTGGACTGCTAACCTTAAGATTGGGGGTTCAAATCCACCAGTGACTCCTTGGAAACATGATTGCTATGAGTCAACAATCATAACAATCATAAAGACATGGTAATTAAAACAGTGAGGAATGGGTGCAAGAATCATCAGAAAAGACAATATAAGAGGATAGAAAACTCAATGAAAAAGACTCAGGTACACATCATGTGATAAAGATGTCATTTAAAGTTAATAAATGATAGAAAACTAACTCAAAATAATCATTGGAAGGGGAAATTAAGTCCTTATCCTAAACCATACATCAAAATTAATTCTAGGGAAATAAAATATTAAAATGTAAAATACACATATAATATAAAAGTTCTAGAAGTTTTGAGAAGCACATGAGGTTATTTGGCACATTTTTTGTTTCTTGCTTAGTGCCATCCAGTTGATTCTGACTCATAGTGACCATGTATAAGGTTTCCAAGGAACAGCTGGTGGGTTTGA